AGGGTGTGAGCACGGCGGGTGCTGACGGTCCTTTGCTGCCGTCCCCGTCCCTGGCTGGCTCTCCAGCTTGCGACCTCACTTTCCTCTCCCCGTCCCCCTGGCTTCAGTGACTCCCCCATCCCTTCTTTCCTGGAGGCACAGGTCCTTGCCTCTATCGAGCCTGGGAGGAGCACGCTGCAGATGAAGCTGCTGCCAGCAGGACCTGCCTGTTCCCTTAGCGCCAAACTGCAGCTCACACCGAGGACAGTCGATCCGCAGCTGAAATTTCAAACTCAATTAGCACCGAGACAGGCTGGAGCTGCTCCCGAGTAACTAATCATCGCGGAGCTGCCAAGTGCTCTACCTGGGATGTGCTGTGAACCTCAAGGTTTAGCTCTTCAAGTACTAATAACAGGGCACAGGCAGACTGCCATTTAACATTCAACTTGAAAGTGAGTTTCTGAAGTTCCTTTCCCCATGTAAGGACTGGCTGGGAAGGAGAGTGGGGGAGGGATGGCAGAGACTGGGGAAAGTGACTGCCTGCGTGTCCTAGAGAGTGAAGCCTGATTATTCGCTGCCTCTTGTCCCCAATCTCGGGACGTGCAGATCCTTGGGCCTGGAGAGGGCTCAGCCGTGAGCAGGTGGAATGGGGCTGGCCCACCCTGTCCTGTGGGCCCAGAACCATGAGGCTCCCCATCATCTTCCACATGCTGGAGATGTGGAGGCTGGGGGCATGGACAAGAAGGGTGCCTCATTCTTTTCTGTCTTCTACCCACAGACCTGATGGCCGAACAGTGCCTCCTGTCAGGTTTGCAGGGGCTCCAGATCTTGTGAGAATCCTGGTGTCGTCCCTGCCCCTCCCAACTCCAGTGCCCTTAAAAGGCTCTCAATTTAGCAGCAGGCCCACACTCTGACACCCTAAATGCAATGGTGAGTTTGCACATTAACACGGAAAGATCAGCCTTTCGTGCAGTCAGTGGTGTGAAGTGGAAAAACATCACTCTGTACCAAAAGGCCAATTCCCAATTTAGTTCAGAAAAAAAAAAAAAATCTGGACCACCTTTCATAGACCTCCTCTCTCCATTCTGTCAGCTCCTGCTGGGCACCCGGGGGATTCACCATAACCTAGTCAGCAGACAGCGTTGAGTAATGGCATCCCGGCCTCTCGTGGCCACGGGAAGCATTGGCAAGACAGAGGGGTCAAGTTCTGGCTGTGGGCTTGGCTCAGGCCATACACAATGCAGCATGCTTGGGGACAGCAGGGCCAGTCCCTTGCTGCTGCGGAGCCACAGAGCCCGGCCTCGGCCAGCCTGGCAGCCAGCCCCTCCATTTGCTGCTGCGTGAGCCCCTCTGCGTGGCCCCTCATCTATAAAACAGGGAAAACACCACACACCCCCTGCCCCTGGGATTAAATTAGACAACAATACAGTGCACCTGGCAAGCATGGGTGCTGTGCTGTGGGAGTCCTAACTAAGTCACATAAAATACTGTGTAGGTCGGGCCTAGACGTCGCTCTTGAACAGTCTATTTCTAATTAAAAAAAAAAAAATTCTTTTGTAGAGATGGGGTCTTACTATGTTGCCCAGCCTGGTCCTGAACTCCTGCACTCAAGCCATTCTCCTGCCTCAGCCTCCCAGAGCTCTGGGGTTATAGGTGTGAGCCACTGTGCCTGGCCCACCCTTGGGCAGTCTAGCTCATGGGGACCCAGCACCCGTTGCTGGCCACCTTCCTTTCAGTGACAGGCACCAAAGGATGGCTCTGAGGCCTGGTGGCCATCCTCACAGCAGCGGTGTCTCTGGCTTCCCTTGCGGTCCGCCGTCTTGAAACTGACCCCAATCCACCTTGGTCTCTATTTGTGTCAACTTCAGGGCAGTGGACTCTATTTCAGTGGGAGACACACAAAGTCAGCCTCCCTCACGTTCATCTCCTGGAGTACCCAGCCTTTGAGCGTTTGGCAAATGAACCCATCACCCTTCCAGTCCCTCTCCCCTTTCTGGATCTCAAATATACTCCTGTTCAGCCTTGGCTGAGGGATGAGAATGTCAGAGATGGGAAGGCCTTAAATGCTAGCTGCTCAGGCTCTTGTTCTCCTCCAACGTCCTATTTCTTTTAGAGGGTGGTGGGTATGTGATCTCACTCACTCTATCACCCAGGCTGGAGTGCAGTGGTGCGATCTTGGCTCACTGCAACCTCCGCCTCCCTGGTTCAAGCAATTCTCCTGCTTCAGCCTCCTGAATCGCTGGGACTACAAGGCATGTGCCACCACGCCCGGCTAATTTTTTTTTTTTTTTGTATTTTTAGTGCAGACAGGGTCTCACCATGTTGGTCAGTCTGGCCTTGAACTCCAGACCTTAAGTGACTCACCCGCCTTGGCTTCCCAAAGTGCTGGGATCACCGGCGTGAGTGAGCCACCGTGCCTGGCCTCAACCTCCCTCTTTAATTAGGGACTGTTAAAAATCGGGAAAACAGAAGAGCAGGCAGCAGGTGCACCCCCACCATCCAGCCTCCCTTGGACCGATCTGCTCCGTCTCCAAGCCCCCAGCCCCTCCACCATCACTGGATCTCCAGCCTTGCATCTCACGGATGAGGGCACGGGGTTCTCAGATGAAGGGACTTCTCTAGGCTCCTGCCACTGGTAGCAGAGGACTGAGGAGCAGGCCTGGGCAGTGTGCCCGCCCCCCGCCACCTCCCCATATCCTTCACACCATCACAGCCACGCTCTTCTGATGCTGTTATTTATTTAATAGTCACACTTTTTCACCTAAATAAATGTATTTTAAATGGACACTTCGTATCACTCCTGTAAAGGGGAAACCAGCATCATTTGCCATAAATAGAAGGTTTCTCTGAAGATGACACAGAGAAGACAAAACCAGTGCTGTTTAGTTCCAGGTAGAAGCAGGGCCTGCCTGAGGCTGGGAGCGCAAGGAGGCTGCTCTCTTTTGAAAACAGGGACTGGCGGGAATTGGAGCCACCTTTAGTGCCAATGGGGACATGCTCAGACTTGCTGCCATTGGGAGGATTCAAACAGTTAAAAACCAGATCGCTTTCTCACGATGAGATTTACCAGGACCACAAATCCGTCAATTCTCAGATAGATGCTTTTCCACACTCAAATGTCTCCGGCATGTGCTGTCTGCCAGTTGGCAGTCACGACATGCGTGTCATTATCTGCACATGCTCCAACTTGGTCACAGCTGGTCATACTGTCGTCACTTCAGATGAGCTATGCACATCGTTCGTACCTCGCTGGGTCAGCTTACTTGCCATTTAAATATCTCTGGAAAGATGTGTAGCACTGAGACAAAATGTTATTATGTGCCCAATATCCTCATTCCATGTTTTCTTGCAATGCAACAAACTAACAAGTGTCTTCCAAGATCAAAGATAGGAGGGAAGGCAAGTCAACGAAGCTGTGTGCTTGTCAGTTACTGGAAGTCGTAACAGGATCGCCTACCACAGGCTAAACAGTAAGACTTAAGGCAGGAGACATGACCACCCCCTTGGAATAGAAGGAAATTTCAGAGCAATGAAAGGCTGGTGTGACAGACTCACGTGTCACACAGGATCGTCAATCAGACAGGGGTTTCACTGGCAGCATGTTTTTCTTTATTAGTGGTTCGTCATGATATGTCCACTCCCTGGGGGAGCTCTTAAGTGGAGGAGAAATGTGTCTACTGTCTTTAAGCCGCAGTATTTTTGGACCTCTGTGTTACAGAACCTCACAGAATCTGGAATGTGACAAACTAGGTATGGCATTTAATCTACAGCCACCCTTGGTATGGAAATGTCCTGCCCTACCCTATGTGCCTCTCCCACTTCCCCAAGTGGGGCATCAAAAGCCCGGCCATTTCTCCTGGGCAGAGGCCTTAGGCGCTAGCACATGTGGCAGTCACCTGGAGGCTGCTCAAGATCGGGCTGCTGGACCCCACACCAAAGCATTTGTAATTCTTTTTTCTTGAGAGGGGGTCTTGCTCTGTTTCCCAGGCTGGAGTGCAGAGGAGTAGCCTTGACCTCCCATGCTCAAGTGATCCTCCCACCCCAGCCTCCAGAGTAGCTGGGTCTAGTCACACACAGCTATGCCTGGCTATTTTCTTTTTTTTTTGGCTTTTTTTTTGGTAGAGATGGGGCTTTACCATGTTGCCCAGGCTGGTCTGGAACTCTGGGCTCAAGCAATCCACCTGTCTCAGCCTTCCAAAGTACTGGCATTACAGGTGTGAGCCACCACGTCCACCTGAGGATGTGCATTTCTGATGCCCCACGGTGGCAGTGTTTCGGGTGGAAGGACTCCACGTGGGCAGGCACCGTCCTGGAGCCCTCGGCACTAAACTCTCTTCCTTCTCTGGCTCTTTTCAGCCAGGGGTGGGGGAAAGGCTGGGAGGTACCAGAAGCCAGGGAGGACCCACTGGTTCTTTTGGACATCTCAGAAGGCATCGTGTCTCTTGACGCTTTGTTCATAGCAAAACAAACATTGTTCTAACGTGGGCCTGGCCAAGTGCGCCCTGGGCGATGCTCCCACCCTCCTCAAGCCCTTTGCCAGTTTAACGATCTTCACAGAAACAGGTTATGGCTTTAAAAGTTGGTGCCGAGGCACTGAACGAACTCGGGAGATGGGGCTGAGACCGAATCACAGTAATATTTAGGGCAAAACCTGGGGCGAACAAGCCAACGCCCCTTTGGGTCCTGCTCGCATGCGTCTGGCCAGCTAACCCGGGCGGGTTCCTTTCCCTCTGGGGTGTGCGTGTGACTGGTTTAGTAAAAAGAAACTTCTGCGTGATCTTTTTCTCAAAAAGAATCATCCATCTTTCAAGCCATCACAACATCTCTGAAATAGAGGATCTGCCAGCGCTGCCCTCTCCCCTGAGAGCAGGATGCAGGGCAGGACGCGCTCCAGAAGAACCACCCCGCAAACGGGATGTACTGGTTTCTGTTTCTTTAAAAGGCCCAAGCCCGTTATGCATTCATGAACTGAATGTGTTTGTTCTTACAAGGTGCTATAAGAAACAGGAGACAAAGCCTTGTTCATGGTACAAAAGGTTTATTGCTTACAAAAATAAGTTACCAAACCCCAAAAGCCACACAACAACCGTGCATGACAATACCTATGAACACAAGGGCTGGTTCTAGTAACAGTCACGAAATCACAGACGGGCATCGTCCAGGGAGGAGCACACACGAACGAGGAGCATGCTGCTCAGCTTCCTTTTACCAGGTTCTATCAACATCTTCTTGGCCTTCAGTCCATTGGCTAGTGGGAATAATTAGTCCCATCAGTCACAGAGAGGGTTCTGCTCTTCAGGAGGTTCAGCCTCAGCACTCATGCCGCTGTTTTATGAAAGGGAGGAGCGGCTGTACTGATTTGGGTGGTGAGGAACTATCTGAGCCTTCCGTGGGCTTCCTGTGTGTCTGGGGAGGTGCCGGGTGGGGTCTGAGGCTGCGGCCAGGGTGGGGGCTACTGCCGGCAGGTGTCGTGGAAGGCTTCAAGGGTTCGGAAATCCCTCCATGTCGGGGGAAGGCCGTCCTGCAGAAACTTCCCGCAGCGCTGGCACGGGGCCTGGAATAGCTTTATGTAACTCCTTAACCAGGTCTAAAAAGAGAAACGAGGAGAGAAGTGACAGGATGGGATACAGTAGCTCCCACAGTCCTCCTTCCAATCAAGCCTAATGACCCAGACAGCTGAAGCTGGCCGTGGCCCCAGAAGATGCCCCGTGACTTCACAGAGAGCAGTAGGCGGAACCCACAAGGTCACCTGACTGCCGATGTCCACTTGTGAGGCTGGCTTGCCCCTCCCAGCTGAGGGAGTTTTAAAAATAGAAAGCCCTACTCTCAAAAGCAGGAAGGGCTCCCTGGAGTCCCTGTGAACCACCGAGCAGCCTGAAGGTCTGGGGACCAGCACCCTACTTTTGCTTTCCAGGTCCCGTGTCTTCTGAATGTCAGTATCCATCTCTTCTTGCCCACCACTGAGGTGGCTGTGGATGTGAGCTAAGGAAGCCCTGGAACCGATGACAATTGCAGAGTTCTCCACTGAGGTCAACACGCCTTCTAGCTAACGTGATTTCAAAGGTCGTCACTCACTGTCATAGTGTGGCCTAACACATCGGGGGGATGGGCAGGGACAGCCCTGGTGCCACCAAATAACATCATCAACAGCAAACCCACACTTGAGTGGTTCAGAGTGCAGAGCTTTCCTGGGCATCATACATAAGGATGAGCCTCCCATAACTCAATTCTCAAACTCAAGGAGATTCACTACTAAAGAAACAATACCCAAACCCCACAACAGCAGGTAAGCAAGTTCTCGCTGTGAAAGGGGCACGTGAATCTCGTCATTCAATGTCCTCCTGAATTACGTCGATAAGAGAAAATTGTTATTTGAAGAGGTCGGCTGAGCTTATTAATACAAATCCTTCCATCTTTACCACAGCTGCCTTCATGGTGACAGGGCATGGTCCATCAATTCCAGCCCCATTTCCAAAGGCCAGGTGTTTGGGGGTTTTGGCAATACCTATGAAGTCAAGAGGTCATTTAGTTAAACTATTTATTCTTCCCTAAGTGGAAGAAGTTCTGTCTCTGCCACAGATAGTACTCATGTCTGGGCCTCAAATCAATCAATCAACAGATACTTATTAATTAGCTGGTGTGGGCTGAGCACAGTGCTGGGTGCTGTGACAGATGTAAGGGTTCTTTTTTTTTTTTTTTTTTTTTTTTTTTTAAAAGAGATCAGATCTCGCTCTGACACCCAGGCTGGAGTGCAGCTGTACAATCAAACATAGCTCGCTGTAACCTCGAACTCCTGGGCTCAAGCCATCCTCCTGTTTCAGCCTCCAGAGTGGAGCCACTGGGATTCAAATCTTCCCTAAATCCCAAAGTCAGTTACCAAATGGAAAGTGGGCGTTAAAACATGACAGGTTCAAAAGCAAGTCTTTGTGTGTATTGGAAATTGGAGATCTTGCTGAAGATGGATAAAGGAATCGTTCCCTGGACACACAGAAGGACCACTCGTGGGGAGTTCTGAGCACCTGGCTGTGCTGTGCCCAACCTGCCACCACCATGGAGCCAATCAATGCACCAGGGATATGTCGTCCGAGGAAGGAACTACAGGCTCTCTGAGCAGTGTGATGGTCGGTGCCCGTGTGATCGGATGAACTGTGAGCCATACCACATTCAGCTGTCAACACTGACTGGCCTTGCTAACAGGTAAGTCTTTGGAGTGAGTTCTCCAACTGGCAGACTTTCTAGCATGAAGGAAACAGGGAGTCCCAGCTGCGGTGGCTGATGGGACCTGCTGGCATAAGAGCATGCAGCTGTGTGAGCCTGATGGTAAAACAGCTGGCTACGTCTGTCAAGGACGTGGGAGACATAGTGTTAGCCCTACTTAGGCCAACTGGTGGCCGTGTGACAAATGCTGATAAACTAGCCCTGGGGGGCAGGGAAAGCCCTGACTTGTAGCGTTTGCTGATTTCCGTGGTGTCAACACTCCCACCAAGTTTGATTTCAAACTAGCCGTGGGTGAAGGACCGCCCGCAAGATCCTGAACGGGAAGTGGCAGGAGCTGGTTCCAGCACACCGCGGGCATGGCTGCTCTGGGGCTGCTCCCATCTCGAGCTCCAACTCTTAAAATCTGAGGAGTAAATGTCTTGGGGAACTGCATGATTCGTTAACTCATTGCCATATGCTCTGCACCAACCACAGGGCCTGGCCCAGATTAGGAGCTCAATGAAGTATCTGCGGACTCAGTCAATGCTGGGAACTATTTTGCATAATCATTTCTGAAACCACCACTTTTCCAGCAAAGAAAGAAAGCACCAGTGAATGAAGCTGGAAGTGGTTTCTCCCAGGGCCTTCCCAGTTTAAAGAAAGTAGCAGTTTTAAACTGGCAGCCCCATCTCCCACCAGGAGGCCTCAAAGTCTGAAGAGGCAACAGCTCCCTTCATGCTGCCTGTTCTCACTTGAAGAGATCCAAAGTTTCAACAGGAGACCTGACTCTTGAAGCCACTTACCATGAAGGATCTGACCACAACATCCGGCATCTGGGGCAGCTGGTAGTGGAGCAGGGCAGTGGTGGCGTGGTCTGTCACCTGAGAGGGAAGGACAATGACAAGTTAGCAGCCACTCCAAGCTGGCAGAGAGAAAACAAGCAGGACAAATGCATGCCCTCTGTGTGAAAACAGATCTGAGCATCTCGTGGACAAAAGGGCATCTAAAGTAAAATCTCAGTAGAAAAATGAGTTAGCAGAGTTGCGGACCCAGAGTGGGAGAAGAGGCATGCTGTCGGCAGAAAGGAAGCAGGCCTGAAGGCAGGAGGGGTATGGACGATTCCAGCAGCTGAAAACCTGGCCAGGCTGGAGCACTGGGAGAGGGAGTGGCCAGAGGCCAGTGGGGGCCAATCCCCGGGGGGATCCCAAGCCTCCCTGCCCAGCGAGACATGGCACACATAGCACATGCGCCAAGAAGCACTTCCGCCTGGCGCACACACTTCCTCTTCCTCCCGGAAAGGTTTTCCCGACAGGGCAATTGTCTCTTTCCATTTCCTTGAATTCTCATTCTGTCACCATTTGTAGCCACCCAGGCTTTATGGTGGGAAGCCTGACCGTTTCTGAGGTTGTTCCCTTGGGTCTCACAGTTGCTAGGATAGCCCTTCGGAGGAGCCCCTCGCATCTGGTGTGGCCCCCTCACCAGCTCTCTGAAGGCTGTGTCCTGTGGCCAGCACCCCAGAGGTCTGTGCCTTCTGTCTCCTGAATCCTCAGGAGAGATTTATCAGTGAGGGCCAAGGGAAAGGCCACGTGAGATCCAGCGAAGGCATCAGGTTGACCAGATGGACGGAGCACAGGGTCTAAGCTCTGGCACACCCCCCTGCCCCAACCTTGATCCAGCTACTTATCCTCCCTGCATTTCCAAGCTCCTTCCAAGAAGCAAAGAGCCTGGCCGGAGAGCCCTGGTGGTTCCGAAGCTGGATGACGCCGTGAATTGCTAATGCCTGCCATCAATCAGCAAATGAGTAGATTATACTAATTTGATAGTCATGTTCAAAGTAATGGTTTACATGATTGTCCTCATTAGGGATTCTTGACATCCCACATGTCATCATTAAAAACAAAACAGGCCGGTGCAGTGCCTCATGCCTGTAATCCCAGACCTTTAGGAGGCTGAGGCGGGTGGATCATTTGAGCCCAGGAGCTCAAGACCGGCCTGGGCAACAGAGTAAGACCCCACCTCTATAAAAAATACAAAAAATTAGCTGGCTGTGGTGCCACACAGCTATAGTCCCAGCTTCTCAGGAGGCTGAGGTGGGAGGATCATCTGAGCCTGGGAAGTTGAGGCTACAGTGAAAAGTGAGTGTGCCACTGTACTCCAGCCTGGGCAACAGAGACCCTGTCTCAAACAAAACGAAACAAAAAACCACATTTAAAGAATAAAACCCAAAAAACTCCAGAGAAGGTCCTTAGCTTTGAGAACAAGAATGAACACAGGTCTAATCTGTGTAGATGTGTCCATGTTCTAGCCCCCGCAACACTGTGTATGCTGACGAACCCAGGCAGCGGTGGAGCACGTCGGGCAGGTGGAAACCAGAAGTGCTGGTCCGGGACCCGCACGGTGAGCTGCAAATGACCTCGAATTAGTCTAGCTGTGTGTCCACAACCACAGCTGGAGAGGCTGCCCCACAAAAAAGCGCAAGGACACGAACTCTGCAGACAGGCAAGCCGGAGCCTGGCTCCCTGGCCTCCTATGGAGCCTCTCTAAGCCTCAGTTTCCTGTTCCATAAAATAGAGATTGTACTACATACTGCAAAAGGCTGGTGAGAGGACTGAGCGAGGCCAGGTGTGGGAAGCACTCACTCTCCGGCGATGCTACCAGCCCCGCCTGCCTGTTCTCCTCTGCCTGGGCCCTGGACTTGTCCTATTTCCCACTGGACTTTCATGGCCTGCCTGATGGCTGCTGAACACCAGACAGATCAACAGCTCCTTGGGGCAGGGATCATGTCCGCCTGATTCGTGCTGCATCCCCAGGGCCTAGGATATCACCCTTGCATACAGCAGGTGCTAAATACATAGTTGTTGAATAAAGAAGTAAACTTAAAAACGCCCACTCACTGAAGGCCGTGTACCATAAACACCTGCACTTTGTTGCAAATACATCAACAGTTCATGTAGCCAACATGGCCGAGAAATTCTTATCCAAGTGGCTTTCAAGATAAATGGTACTTATTCCTTTGAGTGCCAAGACTGCTTTTATTTTAAGCATTTTTGACAGACAGCTTTCTAAAATGAGCAATGCTTTTTTTTTTTTTTTTTTTTTTAACAGTAGTAATGATAACTTTGCAAAATGACTGGTGGTAATCGGTGGAGGGAAGGTAACGGCTAAGAAACGCAGCAAAGCAAACTGGGCTCAAACGGTCCCTGAACTTGAACGCTTGGTTCTTGCCCATCTAGCTCCCTTGCTAAGAAAACCCGTGAAAGTGCCATTTTATGGGCCAACAAGAGGTTTTTTGCAATTATACTTGCCATTACAGAAGAAACAAAGTTTGTGAATTCTTTCTCCTGACCCTACCATTTATTTTTAAAATGTCTCCAGTGAAGCCCCTGTTGGAACGGCCAGGGCGGCAGGGCTGGCTTTGTTTGCTCTGGCCCTGCCGTTCTGTAGCTCCGGGTGTGACAACTTCCCTTGATGGGAACATCCGTCCCTGGGAGGCCCCTGGGGTGAGGCCACCTACATCCACGTCAGCCTTTCAGCAGCCACGTGCAGGCAGAGAGGCTTTGTCTGGCTGCACTTCTGTTTCTTTTGTTTTCACATTTTTAAACACAAATGACCAACACTTAAAATTCGGGAAAGTTTACCTGTGGTGCCCAGCTCCTCTGGAAGCATCAGAGGATATGGGGACTGTCTCACAGGCTGCTGTGAAGACTAAACGGGACCCAGCTTCTTCTCATCTCTGTGACTGTGACCCTGGCACAGCAGCTGCAGCAGCTGAGGGGCGGTGACACGTGCAGTTTGCCCGAGCACCCCAAGGTCTCAGATCCAGCCTGCTCCCCTCACAGGGGACCTGCCTGGCCCCTGTGGCCTTTGGAGTTTACAGCCCCTAACCAAACCAACAAGACCCTCTGCCCCCAAGATGCCCCAAACCCTCCCCAGCCCTGCTGCTCCCTGGGTACCTGGACGGGCTTCCTGATCTTTATTTGAGCTCATCTTCCCTGGCCTTACAGATCTGTGCCCATCTCTTCCCTTCCTTAGCTGACCTCTGGACTTGGCCTCCTCTGGCTGAACTTGAGTTCTCCAAGTATTCTGAGACAAACCTAGTTTTGATAACTGCAAGGTGCTATCTCCAGGCAAGGCATTGTGCGAATTACAGGAACATCTCAAGTGATCTTCCAGAACTGCTCCTTCTCCAGCGTTTTTGCTAAATGGTCCTTCACCCAGAGGCCCAAGCCAGAAACCCGGGCCCCGCCCTGTCATCTGCCTCCCCCGCCTCGTACTCAAGCAGCCTCGTGGTTCCATTATTTATCTCAAATCCTTCTACGTCCTCCCAACTTGCCTGCCTCAGCACGGCTCAGAGGGAACACTCAGCAGCAGAGGGGGAGAGTGTGCGCTCCTCCCTCCAGCAGTGCAGCCTTGGGCAGGGACTTCACCTTCATTAGCTGCCGTTTTCCCGTCTGGAAAATGGGGACAATGACAAAGAGTGCCCACCACAGGGGATGACTGTGAGGATGAAGGTGTGCAGAAGTGAGTGCTGGTCAGAAAGCAGGAGTGATTGCCATCACTCACCTAGAAACCCAACTGTGTCACTCCCCCACTTAAAACCCTCTTATAGCTTCCCCTGCGCTCAGGATGAATTCGAAGGGACGTGTGAAACCCTGCAGTGCCCGGTTTCCGCCTCCTCTCCCTGGGTGCCTCAGTTCCCTGAGTCCTTCCCTTGGCGTGGACCTCTCCTTTTCCCTCCCCTCCTTCTCGTGTTGAGGGAAGCCCCCCAGACTCCCCGATGGGCTGTGTCCTTGCCTGGCTCTCTTCCCCATCTCACTCCTCATACCTGAACTTGGTATTTTCTGTCACGTTAGTTTAGTGTCAGTTTCCCTACCTTGAGCCCATGTCCGTCTAGTGCCTGACACGGAGGTTCTCAGTATGTGTGCGGATGGAGAGAAGGACCCCTACTCCGACTCCCTGTGGGGAGAGTGGCTCAGATAAGGTGGGTGGAGCCAGGGGCCTGGAAGGGGTGGGGACTGGGGGACAGGAGCTGAGGACACGGGCTCTGATCTACCTCCAAGGTGCTGGGGTGTCTCGGACTTGTCCTCTGCGGTAGAAGCCACCAATGGTCACCTGTCTGCTTCTCCTCTGCTTCCTGGGTGCGCCTGAAGACTTTCTGGCTTCACAGTTACTTATGCTGGACGCCGTGGATGGCTCTGGCTGCCGCACCAGAAGTGGATGATGTGCGCTGCTGTCCTGGAGGCTGCGGGGCGAGTGTGGATTCCCCAGACTCGCTCTCTTCCCCTCTTCCCCTGCGACCTTGGAAACCACACACTAAGATGGTGGAGTCACCAGAGGGTGGGGTCCTGTTTTGCCTGGGTCCTTGAGTGACACAGACCTGTCACAACTCAGGATGGACATGTAACATGAGGAGGAAATGGGCTTGAATCGGGTGGGACTACAGGAGGTTTATCACTGCGGCATTATTCTGCTCTCTCCAGACCAATCTGCCTTTCTTGGATATTCACTGCACATCCAGAAAAATGAGCCACAGTGCTGGCTAGGACTCCCAAGCCCGTTACAGTGGTGGCACAACGAACGAGTTCCAGCTGTGGCCAAGGAGCTCTCCCCTTGAAAGTGCTGCTGCCAGCATCTGGGAGTTTGTTAGAAATCTGCCTTCTTGGCCGGGCGTGGTGGCTCATGCTTGTAATCCCAGCACTTTGGGAGGCTGAGGCGGCTGGATCACCTGAGATCAGGAGTTTTGACCAACATGGAGAAACCTCGTCTCTACTAAAAATACGAAATTAGCCAGGGGTGATGGCGCATGCCTGTAGTCATAGCTACTCGGGAAGCTAAGGCAGGAGAATCACTTGAACCTGGGAGGCGGAGGTTGTGGTGAGCTGAGATCGCACCATTGCACTCCATCCTGGGCAAAAGAAGGGAAACTCTGTCTTAAAAAAAAAAAAAAAAAAAAAAAAAAGAAATCTGCCTTCTTGGGCTCCTCTCTAGACACAGCATTGGAATCTCCAGGGTGGGGCCTAGACACTAAGCCAGCTGCTCCAGGCTATTCCTAGGGATGCTAAAATGCACGAGAAGGTGATGCCAGTGAGCACACAATCACCTGGGATACTGTCAGATTCCCATCTGGGAGCTCGGGGATGGGAGAGGCGGAGGGTCTGCATTGCCAGCTGACTCCCAGAGGTGCCCACACCGCTGGTTAGGGACCGGGCTTTGAGTGGCAAGGCTGGAGCATATTCCAGGCACTACTGGAGAACGGCCCCCAGAGGGTTGGGTATTTGATTCTGGGCCATGAAACCAAGGAATACAAATCACAAAGACAGTCTGTCTTCTCATGAATCAAAATGAATGGTACCACCTGAGTTTCACAATGGGCACTGTGGGGTGCGGGGTGGAAGATTTCACAACAGGTGCCTGTAGAGTGGGGGGTTTTTCCCTTTATTTCTGAAAAGTGCTTTTTTTTAAAAAAATCATTGGATATTTTATAACTTATAATAGCTATTATTAAGAAGAGCTTACGTGCCCCTCTCATTTAATTCCCACAGTAACTTGGAGACGGGTGCTTTTCTTTTTTCTTTTGAGACAGGGTGTTGCTCTGTTGCCTAAGCTGGAGGGCAGTGGCGTGATCTTAGCTCAGTGCAGCCTTGACCTCCTGGGCTCAGGCAATCCTCCCACCTTAGCCTCCTGAGTAGCTGGGACTATGGGCTCACGCCACCAAGCCCAGCTAATTTTTTATTTTTGTAGAATCAGGGTCTTACTATATTGTCCAGGCTGGTCTCCAACTCCTGGCTCCTTCTGCCTCGGCCTGACAAAGTGCTGGGATTATAGGAGTAAGCCACTGTGCCTGGCTGACTATTCTTATTTACATCTGATAGAGGAGGAACGAGGAGGTACAGAAGCTGGGAAGATGTACACCGCGGGTGAGGGCAGCAGTGTGGGAGCCCACACACTGGGAGGCCCAGGCCTCTGCCCACTTCCCGCCCACTGACTCCCATCCCGGGCTCTCCCAGTTTGCAGATAAAGGTGCAGGTCCAGGGCCATGCCCAGCACCCGCCCAGCGTCTCCCGGGGTGGATAAGTCTTTGGGAAGCTGGAGTCCCAACGCCAGGCACAGGTTAGAAGATTCACATGTGCCTGCTGCAGCACAGGCTGCTCAAGGGTGGCACAAACTGAATTAACTAGAAAGTGTCCTCTTCAGATGTGGCAGGAGCCACGAGCCACAGCTCTGCTGGGTGTCTGGCTCACAGGCGAGGCACCTAATTAGTTTTTCCATTGCTGGTCGGCAATCCGGCCAAACTCAGCCTCTTTTTCAAAAGGTCCAGTATAAAGTATTCTCTTCCATTGCCAAGTGGTGGTAGCTTTTTTCAGTGCTGATGCAATCATTTGATTCCTTCGGTTTCCCACCACCAATTACAGAAATATTTTTAATGCAAGGAAACAAAGCTGACTAACTGGCTGTGTTTTCCCTCCTGGCCTCCCAACTCCTCCACTGCTGGTTTCGAATTCCCGTGGCTGAACTCCAGGCACGCAGCTGTGGAACACAGGAGAACTTCACCTACAGTGATCTCCCTTTTTGTCAAAGCATTCCACCTTCAATATTTTTTTGTTTTGCATTTTTCAACAACAAAGTTGTTTTTTTGCTTAGCATCCAAGATGTGGAAAAAACAGGCCTGGGGCAAAAAAAATCTGCTATTAACTAATTTAAATCGACTCTGTGGCAGCAGAGTTTCGGTCCTATTGTGCGGCAAAGCTAATGAGATTCCGCTGGGAGATAAAAGCCGCCCTCCCTCTAGGAGGAGGCCAGGAAGGGCACTAATGCTCCCAAGGAGAGGGAGGCGATTCACCCCACCAGTGAGTATGGGTTTGAAAAAAGGCTTGTAAAAAGATCAAAGGGATGTGAGCCCAAGGAAAGGGAGGGAGGAGAAGGCAGGAGAGTCACAGTGAGCCAGCGAGACTGGCCCTTGAAGCAGGAGGAATGTGGGCACAGGGAGACGGGCCTCACAAAGAGGACAGAGGGCGACGCAGGGGAGGGGCTGCGCTGGGAGGTGCACAGCTCACTGCAAGGCAGAGAAGCCGCAGATGCCCCATTCGGGGTGTGTCCCCCATCTCAATGGTGACCTGCAGTGATTGACTTTGAGAAGGGTGACATCTCCATTGCCAACAGTTCCAGTCTATTTGATCAATGTTACTTTCAGTTTTCCCCTGCCTTCTCTCAGCATATTCAAACCCAGGAGAGAACAGAGCTCAGGGATGGAGTAGGGATTCTTTCAAGAGACCTTGAAACAGCTGCCAGTCAAGCCGCTGGAAAAGGAGATGCCAGTCAAAACAGTTTCCCAAAGCTCCTCTGCCATATTGTGTGCAAGGAGCTCCTGACAGCCCCCCTCCTACAATCAGAGCTGGAGGGTGCTTCGGAGATCAGGAGTTATTTTAGCTAAACCCAAAGTGGCACTGCCTGCAATTATAGCAACGGTCCACATCACCATTTACTGAGCACTAGCCTGGTGCAAGAGCTGGCCTACACCGCACAGTCCACGGTGTGTGGCTCCCTTGACAGGACTGAGCCTCTGGATCTGGCCCTTGTGCGCTGTGTGACCTTGGGTGACGATTAAATGGGCCAATGCAGGGACAGTGCATTGACAAACAGAAAAGTGTCCGACACATGGCAGCCCCCGCCAAATGTGTCCCGTTGCGGTTTTTGGCCCACTGAATTCCCACGACGACCTTATGACAGAGGCATGCTCATGTTTGCCACTTCTAAGTCAGGGGCTAAGTCACAGGGAGGTGAAGTGACTTGCCCAAGCCAAGAAGCTGCTAGGTGGCAGGGCACCTTCTTGGCTTGGGCAAGTTCTGACCTTCTGAACGTTCCGACCTTCTGAACCCCAGCTTGAGTGCCTGACCCCAACGTCCCAAGTCTCATGGGCTCCCCACTCCAGGCCTTTTGGGGTGGACAGAGGCTGCGGGGGGATGAAGAAAGGTGCCATTTGCAGGCCCTCTCCTCCCCAGGAGGAACTGGACGTCAGCACTTTTAGGATGGAGCTAGGACTGGATGCCAAATCTCCTCACTTCCACCCCAGTTCCTGTCACTGATGTTCCTTCCACTGCCCAGCCAGAAGCTTCAACCTCTCTGGCTCCCTGCCATGTGCCAGCCCCAGCCCTCCAAGCAGTCTGACAGAGACAGCGGTGGGCCTCAAGAAGACCTCCAGATTGAAAGAGTCTCCCTGCTGTGGACAAAGGAGAAATTGGGCAAAGACAAGGCAGCTGGATCACGTGGGCATGAACACACGTTCATTGAGGGAACGACAAAGTGCAGTGTGAGAAAAGAGGTGGGGCGGGGAGGGCGGGATGGCCCTACTGTGTGCGCCAGATTCAGTGTGCATCGATTCAGTGTGCATCCTGCTGTGTGCCCCCGATTCAGTGTGCATCCTACTGTGCGCCCTGGATTCAGGCGTGTGTCCTGCTGTATTTCCCAGATTCAGGTGCACATCCTACTGTACACTCTGGATTCGGTGCGCACCCTGCTGCACATCACGGATTCGGTATGCAGCACCCACTCGCTTTTTCCTACTCAGGCCCTCTCCCACTGTGAGGGCAAAGATAACAGGTTTAGGCCCAGCAAGACGATTTTTCCCTTAAATTCAACCCTCAGGGCCCAGGTTTTGTGTTGACCAGACGGAGGTTTGTTCTACAGCAGTAAGGGAAGAATAAAGGACATAGACGACACAGGGAGAATAGGGAGAAACCTTCCTAATACACTATTGCTCCTCAGCGGCTTCCTCTTGGAAAAGCAAGGGTCTGTTGGGCTCCTTGAAGGGGGAAAGTTGAGACGACGACAATGCCAGTCACCAGCCTGGACAGGAACAACAGTGTCATCCACAGCAAGACCCTTGTCCTGTTTCAGGGTGATCTTGTACTTGTCACCCAGGCTGGAGTGTGGTGGTCTGATCACAGTTCACTGCAGCCTCGAATTCCTGGGCTCAAATGATCCTCCTGCCTCAGCCTCTCGAATAGCTGGGACTATAGACATACACTACCACATCTGGCTAATTTTGCTATTGTTAGCAGAAACGAGATTTTGTCCAAGCTGATCTTGAACTCCTGGGCTCAAATGACCCTCTCGCCTCCCGCAGTGCTGGGATTACAGGTGTGAGCCACCACGCCCAGCCCAACCCTCCCGCC